CGTCGGACAGCAAGAACATTGGTATTTTGACGTGGTATGCTGTCCACGGAACTTCGATATACCAAAATAGCACCCACGTGGCTGGTGATAATAAAGGAGTTGCAGAGATTATGTTTGAGAAAGCCATGGAAGGCGAAGAGTCAGCTGCGGAAGGGTTCGTCGCAGGTTTTTCTCAGGCAAATGTCGGAGATACAACCCCTAATACTCTCGGTGCATGGTAAGTATGACTTCTGTGCAAGGTAGGTCCGATTAGTGTGCTAATTAGGCGTAAAGGTGCGACGATGGATCGGGTGACATGTGTAGCTTGGAGAACAGCACTTGTGCCGACGGCAAATCGCAATCTTGTCACGGCCGAGGGCCGGCCTTTGCCAAACTCGATCGCGGAATCGCGAGTTGCTACGAGATCGGCAAGCGTCAATTCGATGGAGCTAGATCCGTCTACGTAAGGTCAAAACGCTGCTTGCTGTATTTGGTCATGGCTCACCATTCTCAAGAACTCGCTCGGTTCATCCGGTATCCCCGTCGTTGGTTCGACCGTCAAGTCTTTCCATTTCTACCACGACATGGCTTTCTGGGATTTCCAGTTAGAAAACGGCACCGGAGTGCAAACATGTCCCGCGGCATTAGGGTATTCGTTCGCCGCTGGTACATCGGATGGGCCGGGTGCCTTTGATTTCACACAAGGGGACTCGGGACCACCGAGTGCAAGCCCCGTTTGGGAAGTGGTGAAGAGCCTGCTCCGCGCCCCGTCTCCGGAGCAGAAAGCATGTCAGAACCCCAAACCCGTGCTCCTCGACGTCGGCGAAATGTCTGAGCCATACCCCTGGTCTCCTAATATTATCGATGTCCAACTGTTACGAGTTGGTCAGTTCGTAATTATCGTCAGCCCTAGCGAGGTGACTACAATGGGCGGTCGTAGGTGGCGTGCCGCTGTCAAGGCTGCCGCTACGGACCTGACCGAAACAGACCCCAAGGTCGTATTGGGTGGTCCAGCTAATACGTATGCGCATTATGTGGCTACACCAGAAGAGTACGGCATCCAGCGGTACGAAGGAGCGAGTACACTTTTTGGCCAATGGGAATTGCCCGCCTACATTAACCTCACTGTCAGCAACATCCAATATTTAGCCCCTGATTCGAGCAGCTCCCCCGAGCCCGGTCCGACGCCCCCCGATAACCGCGATGACAGCCTCTCCTTCATTACCCCCGTCGTCCAAGATAACGCCCCGCTAGGTAAATCGTTTGGAGACTGTACAATTCAACCCTCATCGACGTACGCCCGCGGCGCCGTCATTAACGCCACGTTTGTCGGTGCTAACCCACGGAACAACCTCCGTCTGGAAGGCACTTTTGGGGCAATTGAGAAGCAGGACGGCGACACGTGGACGCAGGTCAGGGACGACTCGGACTGGTCCCTTATCTATACATGGACGCGCACGAACACAGTGCTGGGCTACAGTGACGTCGTCATCAGCTGGGAAAGCGAACTCGATGCCGAACCTGGAACCTACAGGACGCGGTACTACGGCGACAGCAAGAGGTTGATAGGGGGTGCCATTAGGGCTTTTGAGGGGACGAGCAATACATTTACACTCACGTAATAATGATAATGCTAATGAGGCGTCTGAAGGATGCCAGCGTTCATGGTCAGGGAATTGGGTATGATGGGATAGTTCTGTTCTAACTTGGTAGCATTTATAAGTCCTAAATGCTCTCAAGACTAATGATTTGGTACGGTCCGGATGGTGCGATGATTTCAAGGCCGAGTTATCAAATACGTGTGAACTCGGGAACAACCCGACTCAGTACTTATAATACTACAATTTGAAGCACATACTAGAGCTGAGCCAAAGGCGAAAAAGCTACTGGCGCGAGTGGAAGCTAAGCAACACTGAGCGTAGCATTCGCCCGCAAATCCGCGCTTGAACTGCCCACGTAGATGGTGAAGTTTCCGGGCTCGACCACGTACCGCATGTTAATGTCCCAGAGGCCCAAATCTCCCACATTGAGGTCGATCGTCACGGCCTTGGTTTCGCCAGCTGCTATCGCCACCTTGGAGAAGCCCTTGAGCTGGATATTCGGCACCACTACGCTGCTCATCACGTCCTTGACGTACAGCTGCACCACCTCGGTGCCGTCGCGCGTCGAGTTGTTCGTCACGTCCACGGTCACCGCGACGCGGTCGCTGATGGAGGCCGTGGACTTTGAGAGCGCGAGGTTCGAGTAGACGAAGGTGCTGTAGGACTTTCCGTAGCCGAACTGCGGGTGTTTCTCGTCAGTGCATACCACAAAATAGCAGATATCTATCAGTAATGTGATAAAGGCCGGCGTGAGAATTTCAGGGTGGAGGGGGGGACGTACCTCGTATAGCGGCAACGGGCTCGAAAGCACGTAGTTATGGCCGAACTTTATCGAGCCGTCGGCGTAGACCTCGCCGGGGTCGGGGTAGGCGCGCGCCGAGTTCAGGTAGTCGTAGTAGACGGGGGTAGTGCCGACGTGGCGGGGGAACGAGACGGCCAGCCTGCCCGAGGGATCGACGTCGCCGAAGAGCACGTCGGCGAGCGCGCGGCCGCCCTGCTCCGAGGGGTAGAACTGCTGGACCAGCGCGGACGCCGCGCCCGAGATCCACGGCTCGGCGACCGGCTTGCCCGAGCTGAAGACCACGACTGTCGGCCGGCCGGCGCCGATCACCGCCCGCACGAGGCCCGGCATCGCGCCCACCAGGCCTAGGCTGTGCACGTCGACATGCTCGCCCGTCGTCGCGTTCAGCCCGGCCCACAGCTCGTCTTGGTCCCGCGACCAGGTGCCCACGACGACGACGGCCACGTCGGCGGCCGAAGCCACCGCGGCGGCCTCGGTGAAGCCGGACTCGTCGCCCGACCACCGCTCGCACCCTTTCGCGTAGGTGACCGTGCCGGTGCTTGCTTCCGTGATGCCGTCGAGGGGTGTCACGCCGCGGTACTGGGATCGGTAAGGGACGTAGTCGCCGTACTGGACGCGACATCAGTTTCGATTTGCCTCTTAACTTGTATGCGACGATACTCGTGACCTTACGTTCATGTAGCCGTGGGCCATTGGCCCTATAACGGCGATGTTGGCGTCTTTTTTCAGGGGCAGGACGTTGTCATGATTCTCTAGCAGGACGATGGATTCCGCGTCGAGCTGCCTCGCCAGTTCGACTATCTCCGGGGTGTTGATATAATTTACCTGTTCCTCTTCAGACACCCCGGAGAAGGGGGTCTCGAACAGCCCTGCCTCGAATTTGGCGCGCAGCTGACGGGAAACCGCCTCGTCCACTACGTCGATCGGCAATTTGCCTGAGTCGACCATCTCCGGAATTTTCTCAAAGTTGAAGGATCCACCGCCCATTTCAACGTCGTTTCCGGCTGGAAGTGCCTGAGTAGTAATTATGAATGTTTGAAGCGCAGCGTTGGGACACAAGTCTTACCAAATTAACTACAGCCTCGGAATCTATAGGGTCGCGCTCACACATGGCGAAATCCTTGCATAGTCGATCTGTGGCTCCAGCATCGCTCATAACCTACGAGGCAACTTGCATCAGAACTTGTAGCGCCAACGGAAAGGCTTACATACGAAGTATTTATAACCCCATTGCTCCCTCAGGATCTCGGTAAGGATACGCCTGTCCGCAACCGCCGGTATTCCATCGTAGCTGTGGTAAGCCGACATGATCGATAAGGCACCGCCATCCATAATGGCTCGCTTAAATGGGGGTAAGTAAGTAGTGTGGAGTTCTCTCTCGCCTCCGTGGACGGGAGCACAGTTGATGCCTTGCTCAGGTGTTGCGAAACCAGCCTGATCGGTTCAGCCTTTGTCTCTTACAAATTGAAATAGGGGCTCTCACAAAATGTTTGACCATAGCCGTGACGTTACCTGACTGCAGACCTTTCACATAAGTATATGCAAGCTCCCCTGCCCTTCACTCGATATAAGCCAAGAGTTCAGTAAGTATGATCAAATGAGGGACTCACAAATATCCATCCTCCCCAAAGGTCTCCTCCACACGACCGAATCGCAGTTCACGGGCTAAGTCGGCTAGAGGTCCAAAGATGTTATTGACACCTAAAGCCCGAGCCTCCTGAGCGATCGCTTTAGCCATTTTCTCCACCAGGGGCGGGTTGAAGGAACACGCGTGGGCGATGGGCGAGTTGAAGATGGTGGCATTTGGTATGAGAAACCCATGGATGCCTTCCGATTGGACCCAGGCGGGTATGCCCAGAGTTGTGTTTTTCGTCAGGTAATCTTGACCGGCCTTGATACCGTCACTGAGCATCTTCCAAGAGACCGGAACTCCGACGTAGAACTGGCCGGCTCGGTATTGCATGCTCCATTCGAGCCCGGTTTGATTGAGAGTACCATCTTCAATGTTGATCCAATTCCTCAGATCTCCTTGGACCAGCTGAGCCGTCTTCTCCTCAATGGTCATCCGCGACAGCAGGTCGGCCACTCTATTCTCGACCGTGGCAGTTGGGTCCTTGTAGACTGGGGGATTATCATTGCCTGGTATTCCTTGCAGTAGAGTAGCAAATAATGGTATCCAAAGTAGGATAGGGAAACGCATCTTCGTTAACTAGCCGCCCAGAGTGCCTGACAAACGACTGCTATGCATGCATGGATAGTTATAATAACATCTACACGAAGTATATTTACTATGACATGATGATCTACATATGTGTTTACGTACGCCGGCTAGGATGGTCACAGCGGAATCCGGATTGATCACTTCAAGCGGCGGGAGAACCATCTCCGTATCAGACTCCCCAATTCGCATTGGCGTTTTCTAGCAACAACGGACATTGCGTTTCTGAATTCACAATGGCTTCCTGGGCACCTCGTCCAGATCAGTGGGCCGTCTTCCCGTCATCTCCAAAGCTGTATGCAAAAACTCGCGTATCGAATCCGGGGCAATTAATGTTCATCGTGGCGGCGGATAACTTCTAAATTATATAGAAACTTTTGAGAAAATGGTACTCAACAACGGTTTGATAGCTCAGTGGTAGAGCGGAAGATTGCAGATCTTTAGGTCGCGTGTTCGATCCACGCTCAAACCTTGATTTCTTGCTTGTCTTGTTTAGAAAATCTTGTTTTAATATCCCAATCATTTTATTTTGAATAGTCTGTTTATTATAAACAGAAAAGAAAAAAAAAAAAAAAGAAAGGGAAAAAACCAAGATATATTTTTGTTATTTGGCTTCACTATTACTTCGTAACCTTTACCGCGCTCCCTCTGGATCCGTTTTCTACGCACAACTTATTCACAGTTATGGATACTGTGTAAGTAGGTGTATGCAGACCAGCCCGAACCAAGCCCTTACGTCGTTCAATTGGTGGGGGAAGATTCTGGCGGACTTGGCCAAGTGGATGGAGGTAACAGTTGAATGCCAACCTCTCCTCGTGCCCAATTAAGCCGACCATCGTCTCTGATTTGTTTCTCGGTTCCCTTCACTCCACTCTTGGACAAAGCTCATGTCATGTGCTGGTATCGAATACGAAGTACATTCCATGCTATAGTTAGTTGCTGCAAAATGCCACCGTATGAGGTCAGCCCACTGTCGAAGACACGGTCCGGTTTCCGTCTTGTCATGGCCATATATGCAATGGATAGGTTCTTAATGCGAGCAAGTGCATGTTGCTTTGGGCAGTAATGTATCGTGATCACAAGAGACTCTATCCAATATGCGCCTACTGTTGGAGTTGTTCCCCCGCCCCTTTTATAATAGTCCTAAGACGTAAGCTATCCGTCATTCGGAGGTTCATATGGTTCATCGTCTTTCAGGAACCAGCAGTTAGCGCTGCGTCCAATCCATAGGCCTGTTTGCGAAATAACACAAGAGCTATTGTTACCACCATGAAGTTTCGCGATGGCATGTGGTTAGTTGCCGAGGGTATGCGAGTGGAGTATGCCGAAGATGTTCACAATATTACACAAACGGAGAAGGGATTAAGTCTGTTGTGCCCTACGAAGAAAGTTATGAGGCGTGGAGACACCCTGAATCTCAGCACGCTGAATATTGTAAGCGCTTTTCGGGAGGCTTGAAGGAAACGTCTTAATAATCACATTAGGATATAGAAGCACATTCTGATGGGATCTTATCCGTCGAGACAACGCATTGGGCTGGTGCCGTGAACAGGGGCCCCCATTTCGACCTCTTCCCGAATGGACGACCCGAGTTTGAGTACAAAGTCCTGACAAGTGATAAAGGTACGACTCTCAGTTCAGGCCCGCTGGCAGCAACCATACATCCAGATGAGCATACTTTCGACATTCGATTCCATAGCTTGGATGGATCAAGGAACTTGACTTCCCTACTTGGGCGTAGCGTGGGACTGGCCTACAACCCAGCACCGAGCAACCCGATGCAGACCGGAGACATGAGAAACTTCAAGCACTACATATTCACTCAGACATCCTTGGGCGTCGGCGAGTCTGTACACGGTCTCGGAGAGCGTTTCGGAGCCTTCAACAAAGTCGGGCAGTCGATATCACTCTGGAACGCCGATGGCGGCACATCCAGTGACCAGGCCTACAAGAATGTCTCGTTCTGGCTCAGCTCGAAGGGCTACGGGATATTCATAGACACCCCGGGGAAGGTTGAGTTGGAAATTGGGAGCGAGAGGTGTACCCGCGTCCAGACAAGCGTCGAAGGCCAAAGACTCAAGTGGTACATCATCTATGGCCCGACGCCGAAGGAGGTCCTCTATCGGTATTCGATCCTGACTGGGAAGCCTAGCAAGGTGCCTAGTTGGAGCTATGGTCTTTGGCTCAGCACGAGCTTCACGACTAATTACGACGAGGCCACCGTCAATTCCTTCCTCGAAGGCATGAGGCAGCGGGATACGCAAGTGGACGTCTTCCACTACGATTGCTTCTGGATGAAAGTGAGAAACTCCGTAACGCTTATATGAGCGTTCTCTAAGATTTCGCAGGCTTTTACCTGGACAGACTTTGTCTTCGACTCCGAGAGATTTCCGGACCCTGCAGCGCAAATCGCTCGTCTGAAATCTTCTGGTCTAGTGAAGAAAGTTTGTGTGTGGATTAACCCCTACATTGCACAGCATGGTGCGGCTTTTAAGGAGGCGGCAGAGAATGGATATCTGGTCAAGCGAAAGAACGGTGACATCTGGCAATGGGATCTTTGGCAGGCCGGTATGGGATTGGTTGATTTTACCAACCCGAAAGCTGTGGACTGGTATGTTGAATGTCTCAATGGACTATTCGATCAAGGAGTCGACTGTATCAAGACCGACTTCGGAGAGCGAGTCCCTACGTTGGACGTGGAGTGGTTTGATAAGACGGTTGACCCTCACAAGATGCATGTAAGTCGGTCCTTGTACCACTGAGCCCCTTTACTCTTTGGGGCAGCTTATACAGGCGCCCTGACCCATGGATTAACGTGTTTCCTAATGTGATCTATAGAACTACTATGCCTTTCTGTATAACAAGGTTGTATACGAAGCACTGCAAAAGCGACACGGAGACGACGAAGCCGTCCTCTTCGCTCGATCCGCATGCGCAGGCACGCAGCGATTCCCACTGGTCTGGGGCGGCGACTGCGAGTCGACGCCCGAAGCGATGGCGGAGTCTGTGCGAGGGGGGCTAGGCCTAGGACTATGCGGCTACGCGTTCTGGTCCAACGACATCGGCGGCTTCGAGGGCTACCCGGCGCCCTGGATTTATAAGCGCTGGGTCGCGTTCGGGCTGCTGTGTTCGCACAGCCGCTTGCACGGCAGCAGCTCGTATCGCGTGCCGTGGACCATCGACGGCGACGACGCGAGCGACGAGGGGTGCTCGCGCACGCTCGCTAAGTGGACGGCGCTCAAGACTCGCCTCATGCCGTACCTTTTCGCCCAGGGCGCCCGGGCCGTCGAGCAAGGCCTCCCGCTGTCCCTCCGCGCGATGTGTCTGGAGTTCCCCGAGGATCCCACCTCGTGGTATCTCGACCGCCAGTTCATGATCGGGGACAGCCTGCTAGCCGCGCCCGTGTTCGATGAATCGGGCGTGGTGGAATTCTACCTACCCAAGGGCACCTGGACCTCGTTCTTCACCAACCAGACCCGCGAGGGGCCCGGCTGGTTTCGCGAGAAGCACGGCTTCGGCACCCTGCCGCTGTATGTACGCGAGAACACCATTCTTGTACTGGGCAAGCCTGAGATTCGAGGGACCGTTTACGACTACGCTGAGGACGTCGAGATCTGTCTTTATCAAGCCAAAGAAGGTGCACAAACGGAGCTTGTTGATAGTGACGGCGATGTATTGGGCACTCTGACACTTGGCGCTGACGGCAAGCTCGAAGGCAAGGAGCTTCTCGGGGGGTCGTGGACCATCAACGACAGTGGTCGTAATGTCGATGAGTCGTACTTGAAGAGTATTGAGTGGCTTTGATTATGTACTAGAAATGATAGTATAGTGTGTTTATATGATCATTCATGCGCATCTCTGAGGTTATTGGCCGCATAAATACTTATTCTGTGAGACTTTGATGCTATTTTTGAAGGGCTTTTCATTCGCTATCTTGATTCGTCGAATACGACATGCGCTAATATGCTACGTAACAACTAAAAAAAGCAAGGGATTACGAAAGAAGGACTGCTGGCAACCGCCGTTAAGGAATATATGATAGAACGCACGGTGTTTGTTGTACGAGCCCCAAGGGTATAGTTGTAATGTTTTCGAAAATGCGAACGCCCATCTGCTGCCACTAGTACTCCGAACTGCCCCTTTAATATCGTAACTCAACACGCGAGAAACGCTTGTTCATCATAATATCTAACCAGTCCTTGTCCTGAGACTGAGGACCATTGTCGTTGAGGCGCTTCCACATGCCTTGTCTACCAAAATCGGGACTCACATGAACCTCTAGATCTTGGGTTGCCTCATTGCTCTTTCGCGAGTAGTGTGGCATTTCAGTCTCGGTTCGAGGGAGTGATGTACGTTGAGCTGTTGACACAGAACTTTTGGATGGAGCCCACATTCCTGTAGATACATCAACGTTTGTCTGGACGGGTTCAACCCAAAGAAGAGACTTGGGCATCTGAGGCTTGTTTGACAAAGGAGACACCGCATTGGTGCCTACCGTCGCACTTCTGCTTCGCTTGCCTGTCTGCCCCTGTGGTCGGCTCGAGTTTCTGTCCTGCTTTGCTATCGATGTGCCAATTGCTGCTGGGTGTACTGTCTCGGCCATCGTAGTCATTGATCCAAAGAAGACGGGATGCCGGACAGCAACATCGAATGCGGTGGATTGTGGCTCTGCACTTTTGGCGATAGCCTCCTTCAGCTCAGCGTTCTTTTGAAAGGGTAGAGTCTGGCCTCTCGAGAATCTGAAGTCGGGATAGGAGGCAGCAATGGCTTCATGAAGCGCGGCGGACCACTCCCGAGGTGATGCCTTTCTACGCGTGACCTTGGGTGAAATGTGGCCAGACTTAATAGCTATTTCTAGTTCCGTATCCCAATCATGCGGGTAGCAAGCTCTCAAAGCGGACATGGTTCCGGGATAGCTCGCTGCTATAGCTTCTCGTAGTTCCGCATCCCAGTCTACGCGATAAGCGACGGTGGGACGGTATTGTTGGCGAAGAGGAACATGTGGCGGCTTCGTCCGAGGGAGCTCATCCAAGTTCTTCAATACTAACTCTTCGGGAAATTCGGGGACTGCTGGGATCTGAACCTTCGCCTTGCTGGACTCTGGATATTGAGGGATTTTGGGGACTTCTGGTACTTCTAGCTCGCTCTTCTTTCTGCCAAACAAACTGCCGAAGAATCCAACTTTACTTTTTACGGAAGACGCCTTTGTAGTGCTAGACTTAACTGATGACGCATCTGTCATGGGGGATGATGGCGCCGAGCTCACTGTTGAGATTGAAGTGACAGAGGGGCTTCGGGGTCGAACAGTGGAAATAGTAATCCAATCTAACTCAACGGAATTGACTTGACTGTTGCTCCAGAGAAGGGTTGACTCCAGTTTCTGAAGGGGCTCCTCGACAGTTCTCGGTTTTCGAACCATTTGGAGCGCAGCTGGCTCTGCCGAAGTCGTGCGGTAGACCTTGCGCTTTGGGT